GGAGGTGAGCAGGGGGAAGGCAGGGAGGTGAGCAGGGGGAAGGCAGGAAAGTGAGCAGGGGGAAGGCAGGGAGGTGAGCAGGGGGGAGGCAGGAAAGTGAGCAGGGGGGAGGCAGGGAGGTGAGCAGGGGGAAGGCAGGAAAGTGAGCAGGGCCACCATGACTTACGCTCAGCGTGTTCTCGATGTTGACCAGCCAGCCATCGAAGCAGTAGTGCTGGGCGATGCGGGCCAGCTGCTCGGCCACGGCACCGAACGCCTCCTCCCCGCCAGCCAGGAACGCCTCACACATCTTCTCCCCGTCCGTCCACTCCGTGATGAACGTGCCTGGGGTGACGGCAAGGGCAGCATCAGCCACATGCCCCGGTGAACCCACTGCACGCCTGGGGTTGCCCCAGGCTCAGCCCTGCCCTCACCCAGCACAGGGACGCCGTTCCGGTGTGCCGCGTTGGTCCAGACCACGGGCGGGATGGTGACAGTGTGGTGACTGAAGTAGACAAAGATGTCGATGTAGCGCCAATGGTAGAAGACGTAGGGGTTGCGTGTGGCTGAGCCCTGGATGAACCTGCAGAGAGAAAAGAGGGTTGGGCAGTGTAGGAAGGACGCTGGCAGATGCTGCAGGGCTGGGTAGGAGCCTGACTCATACCTGAGAGCTGTGCACAGCTGTGGCACTGACCCAGCCCTGAACATCCCAGTCCAAGCAAGGTTGCTGAGCACTGGCACCAAAAGCCAAATGCCCCATCCCTGCCCACCTCTGGCTGAGCCGGACGGAAACACATCATCCAGAAACAGAAGTGGTTTGGGGGTTGAGCCATCAAGCCCCGCTACTGCATCTCCCCTCCACCCAGCACGTACCTGTCCTCCAGGTACCCGCCACGCATGTCATGGCACACCAGCGTCCGGGGCCTCCTGCTGTGGAGTGGGGGCTGGCGCTTGGCCAGAGGCACGGCTGAGATGTTGAAGTCGTCGTTGCTGTTGGGCTGCCAGGCCAGCAGCTCTTCCAGGCCAGACAAGAAGAAGCTGATGGGTTCTGTCGTCTTTGTGTCGAAGTACCTCGCTGGGGGCGGTGGGGAGACGGGACAGGGTCAGCAGAGAGCACTGCCTGCGCAGCTCGCCACCGGCACTGGCACCAGACTGTCCTCATCCCGGCAGGGCCCCAGCGGTGCAGCGGGCCCCTCTCACGGTGCCTCACCTGGCAGGGGTTGCGGGCGGTCGCTGATGGTGTCGTGCAGGACGGTGGTTCCCCGGGTCTCCGCCGCCGGCTGGAAGCTGCCCCGGGATGGGGGTGAGTGCCGGGCCGGACCAGCACCGCGGTCAGCACCCTCCGGGGCCCCGCGAGCCCGGGCACCGGTCCTCATCCCGGTCCCGATCTCTATCCCAGTCCCAATCCCCATTCTGGTCCTGGTCCTGAACCCCATTCCGCTCCTAGTCCCGGTCCCCACCCCGGCTCCGATTCCCATCCCGGTCCCGATCCCCACCCCGGTGCCCATCCTAGTCCTGGTCCCGATTCCCATCCTGGTCCCCGTCCCGGCCCCGGTCTGGGTCCCGGTCTTGATCACAGCACCGGTCCCGGTCCCGGTCCCGACCGCAGCCCCGGCCCCCGCCATCCACCTCCGCCGCCGCCGCCCGGCCCGCTCCGCCTCCGCCGGCTCCTCTGCCCCGGAGTCGGTTCCCGTCCTCTTCCCACGCCGCCCGGGCCCCTCCGGCGCCTCCGCCATGGCGCTGCTGCCGCCGCCGCTGCCGCACTGACGGCGGCGCCGCCGCCACCGGGCCCGGCTTTGCCGGGGGCGCGGCCCCGGAGCTCCGCCCGCGCCGACCCCGCACCGCCCCCGGCACCCCCGCGAGTCACGGGGCGGGACGTGTCCTGGGATGCACCGCGAGTCCCGGAATAGGGACGTGTCTCCCGCGATGGGACATGTATGCTGGGATAGGACGTGTGTCCTGGGATGGGATACATGTCCTGGGATGGAACCACATGTCTCTGGGTGGACTTTTTGCTCTGGGATGGGACATGCGACCTGGGATGGCACAAGTGTGCTGGGATGAGGGGCCATGTGTCCCAGGATGGGGATGTGTCTCCCAGGATGAGACATCTGTACTGGGACCGGGCTGTGTGTCCTGAGATAGAACATGTGTCCCAGGATAGGATCTGTGTGCTGGGATGCAACCTATGTCCCATAGCAGACCCTGCTATGCAGACTGGGACGGAGATGGTAGCTGGTCCTGAGGGGCTGCCAGGAGGCTTTAGCCCTGCCATGGGACTGGGCTGGGGCCCTGCTGCCCACACCACACAGGCACAGCACTGGATGCCCTGACCAGCCTCACCTGGACATCCTCCATCCCCCACCCTCCCACCTGTGGTACCAGGGCTCTATTTGAGTTCAGCCTGAGCCCCCACTCCTCTCTCTGATGTGCTTGAGGTGCTGGTCTCCAGCTGCAGCCCTGATCAGCCCAACCATGGACCTGCCCTTCCAGATCCTGACCCCAGCCTCACCTCAGACCTGTCTCCTCTCTGTGGCTGTGCTGGATGACCCAGACTCTTGGCAACCCTCCCCAGCCTACCCTGTTCCCAGGCTGACAGTTCTGTCAGTCTGCTCAGCTCCCAGCCCTCAGGACACAGCCGATCCCGTGTAGACCCAGCACAGGACCCCTGTCTCTCTGGGGACAGTCTGCCCTTCCCTCTCCACTCCCAGCCCAACAGCGCTGTACCAGCCCACAGCTCTCAGGAAGCCCCAGCACTCCAGAAGCAGAAACCTGTTGTGAGCCCTTTGGAGCCTCCATACACACAAAGCAAGAGGACACTGAGGATGTGAGCAAGGCTGGAAACGTGGGGTGTTTAATGTAGCATGAGCTGTACAGGGAGGTCAGAATGCTGCCCCACACCACTGTGGCATCTACACAAACAAGAAGCCTGGCCAGCAGATAATCTAACGGAAGAGGAAGTGGCTGAGGCCAAAGGTTCTGTCAGAGCTGCCGGTGGGGAGCCAGCCCCTCCCCAGCAGAGGCTGTGGCGAGCAGTGACGGGACCTGCAGAGGGAACTGATGCAATCCATTCCCACCAAGGGTACCCAGCCCCATACTGCGACGCCCGCCCCACTGGCCCCCAGCTCTGCAGAAGGAAAGGGGGCCCTTAGTGGTTCATTGCCTTTCCTGATGGTGCTGAGCACCTTCTGCCCATCTGAGGCAGGGAGCACAGCATGGTGCATGGAGGAGGAACACGGTGCACGTGTCTGTGCTGGCTTGCACCAGGACACCAGCAGTCATGCTGTTCCCCTGGTGCCAGCTCAGCCAGTGCCACAGTGCCCAGCAAACCCGGCTATGGAGCAGGTGGGGGGGGGCGTGGAAGGAACTCCCTGCCCACCCCAGGTGAGCAGCTGCTTCCCAGTCACAAATGTGGCAGAGGTTGGAAATGGCTCCAACTCCTCCAGGTGCATCTGATCGGTCTCAAGAAGCTGGAGTGGGGGAATTCACACACTGAGGCAGGTGCTGAGGGTAGTGGTAGAAGGGTGGGTGGCTAACAGCATAATGGGGGTGGCATGCCCAGGATGAGAGGGCACAGGGGCTCCTTGGCCACCCAGCCTGGTGCAGAAGGAGTTTGGGGGGCTGGTGTTCAGGGGTCTCCACTGTACTTGATGAGGTGGCCACTGAAGGTGATGTAAGTGTCATACTCATCACTGAAGACTGCGTTCTCACGCTCGCCCTTGTAGAGCCGCACCCAGACCTCGTCCTGCTCCCGCAGCTCCAGCATGACACTCTGGCTCTGCATGATGCTGCGGTCACTCACCTGGGCATAGAGGATCACTACCTCTGCCCCGTTGTGCATGATGTGCAGGTACGTCTCCTTCTGGTTCCAGGTGTGCACATTGAGGCTGAAGTAGTAGATCCCAGGGACGTAGCAGTAAAACTTGCCCGTGAACATGTTGAAGTGGCTGTAGAGGTTGACAAACTCCGTGTCGAAGATGAGGGTCTGGTAGTAGTCATTGCTGTGCAGGGGTTTCTTGCGGCCCACCGAGAAGGCGGCATAGTGGCTCTTGCAGCGCTCCCCCGGGGCGCCCATGCTGCCCTTCTGTCCTTTGGGCCCTGCGTGGCCCCTGCTGCCGGCCACCCCCGTCTTGCCAAACTTGCCCTGGATGCCACGCTCGCCACGGTCCCCCTTCTCCCCTGGGCAGAGCAGGAGGGAGAGTTGGACTGTCAGGTGGGGGCCAGCACTGAACCCACACCCTGAAAGCCTGTCTGCCTTACAGAGAAGGATGGAGGGAGCAGGGATGCCCCAGTCCTGCCCTGCCCCCCTCCCCTGATGCTGCTGCCCAGAGGCCACCAGAGCAGTGGCTGCTCGCACCCTGGTGTGGCTCCTGCCCTCTGCTCATGCAGGGCACTGGACCACAGGTACCACCCCAGCTTCTTACTCCCAGTCTGTGCAAGAGCTGGCACTGGGAACCCAGTGTGGCACTGGTTGTGGGGCAACAGATTCTGGCACACAGAGTGGGGTCCTACCAGCCCTCACCTTTCAGGATGGTCATGTTGATCTGAGGCAGAGGCTGGTACTGGTCGGGCGGGGGGCAGCAGCGGACACAGCGGGGCCGTGGGGGCAGCCCCTCCTGGGCACCATCAGCCTTCTGCTCCTGTGTGGCCCTGGCAAGGCAGAAAGCAAAGCCCAACAGGGAGCTACGGAGGGGGCGGGGGCCCTCACGGCACCAAGGCTGCCTTGGCCCCCACTTTGCAGTGCCCTGGCCCTGGGGTCCCCTCACCTGGCAGCTTGGTGCCGGGCTGGGGCCTCTTCAGCATCTGTCCACCACTGCTGGTCGGGACTGGGTCCAGTCTGGCTCCCCACAGGGCAGGACAGCAGCAGGCAGAGCAGCAGGACACTGTGCACCCACAGCCCCTCCATGCCTTGGCAGTGCTCTGTGAGGTGCCAGGGACAGCTGAGGGGGACAGGAGTGTGGAAATGCCCAGCCCAGCACTGTCCTGGGCAGGACCTGTGCACTGCACAGTCCTAGGCTTCTGGCTGGACTGTGGGACACAGTGTCACCCCAGTGAGCACTTGGGGAGACCCACATTGGGGCAGTGTGGAGGCTCTGGGCTCACCAACATGTGGGCCAGGACCATGAAGTCTCCCAAGTCCTGGCACACGCAGCAGAGGGGATTACCTGGAGAGCTGAGGGTGGAGCAGAGCAGCAGGCTCTGGATGACCAGCCAAATCCTGGGCTGAGTGCTGCTGCTCCTGCTCAGCCTGGCTTCAGCTGCCTCCCATGAATGCCCAAGAGCAGCAATTTAGGGTGTCAGCACCTGAAAAATTACAGGCAGCTCCAGCTGCCATGAGGCAAATGTCAGGGTGCAGCCCTGCCTGTTTTGCGGACTCCAGCCCTGTCTGGGGAGCATATCTGCATCCCCACTCCTGCAAGGATGCAGCACAGGATGCACAGGCTCTGCAGGGGGCTCCTGTGCCCCAGGGGCTGCTAGCCAAAAGGTTTGCAAGGGCACAAGAACCACTTCTCCAGAGACATGGATGTGGGCTGGCAGCCCCAGCTCAGAGCTGGCTGCCACAGGGAGAAACCTTCCCGGGAGACCACATCCTATGTGGGGCCAAAACAAATATTTGCAGTGGTGGTGGCACCGTGGCCCAGCCCGGGCCCTCCGTGGCCCTTCCCTGCCTTATCGCAGCCATATCTGCTGGAGACGTGGGGCCGGGCACGCAGCACCTTGTCCTTTGGCCCCGAGGCGCCAGGCCCCGAGCCTTGGCCAAACAGGCGTGTGGCACTGCCCAGTGCTCGGCATCCCGCGGCAGCAGGGTCTGAGGTGGTGCTGGGCTGGGATGGGGTTGGCTGCTCCCCAGTCTCCTGTCTTAGCCAGGCACCTCCCTGGGTTGGGACTGGGTGCGGCCTTTGCTGTTCCCCCCTCCCAAGCGGCCTCCCCTGGCACCACCCAGCCATGCTCCACAGCTCTGAGGGATCCCAGAGCACCGGCCCAAGGGGCAAAGGGCCTGCACAGCCCTGCCCTGCCCTATGTCCTGGGGGTGGGCGAGGCCAGGAAGGATTTTTGGGGCAGAATCCTGTTGTTTTGGTGAATGCCTGTTCTTGGGTGGCTGTTACTCTTGTTCCCAGGCGGGGGGTCGGGGGACTGTGTGTGCTCCCACAGCGGGTGCGGAGGGCGTTCGAGACCAGGGCGGATGACTGGATCATGAGTCACTGGAACCGGGAAGGGGCGAAGGGATAGGGAAAAGCTCCAAAGGGTTTTTCCTACTGTTTGCACCCTCTGCTTAGCACCTGGCCCCTTTGCACAGTTCCCAGGCCCCTCTGTCCCAGCATCTCTTACCCCATTATCTTGGCCTATGTCTTGGTGCTGCCATGTGTGGGGAGAGGCAGGGCCGTGGGCACTCAGCTCCAAGGCAGGGGAGAGGCAGATTCATGGATAGAAGCATGGAGAAGGCCAAGTAGGGGCTCATGAGCAGGTATCACCCAGCTTGGCCCTGGCTCTGCTCACCCTGCCTGGCCTTGAGCCGCTGAGCATGGCATGGAGCATGCCAGGAGTTTGGAAAGCCTGTGGATTTCCCTCAGCTCTGAGACCATGAAACCAGACATTCCCCCAGGACCCAGAGCAGGCTCAGCCCTGGGGAAAACACAGTGTCACAGGGAGCTGCTCCATGAGGAGAAACTCTTCACCAGGAAGCACCAGACAGTGCTTCCCAGGCTGTTGGGAATGGAGGCAAGCATGTGGCACACACAGGGCACGTGGGGCTCTCTGGGCCCCCAGCACAGCCCCCCTGTACCCCACAGGTGTGCCGGGTGGGAGGTGCTCACGTGCGTGTGGGCACACACAGCCCTGCCGAGGGACGCGGTTTTTCCTGTCAGGGTTGGATGCTCTCCAGGAACGGTTGGAGATTTAAACTCAGTGGCTGCGGAAGCCTTGGGACTGCAAGTCAAAACATCCCAAAATACATTCCAGGCAGAGATAAAGACCAGGATGAAACAGAACAAACCCTGAGGGAGGAACAAGGGGCTCAGGGTGGCATGTAGGTGGCAGGACCTGCACCCCCTGCTTGTCCCTCCACTCAGGGTGGTGGATACAGACTTCCCTGCTCCACAGCAGCTGGAGCTGGGTTGCCTCTGGGGTCGTGCTGGTGGGACAGGACCCCCACATTCTGCTGCAGCAGCTGGAATAGTTGCAGAGCCCTTTTTTCCCCCCTGAAGCAGTGCAGACCCGGCAGGCAGCAGTGTGGGGGCTGCACGGGGTGGTTGCAGCCTTCCAGCTCCTGCAGCACCAGTAAGATGTTGTGCAGGGGACCCCAACAGCCAATGTGTCCCCTACAGAAATGCTGGGGGGGGGG